TACGGCACACTTCAGTGAGCAGGACAGTGGGTCTGCGGGTCATTCCGAAGTTTCGAATGTTGCCATCCCTCTCACGCAAAGCGAGATGCCAGCATGAGTGACGGTGACAGACAGAACAATGTAAACAGCGTTTCGGAGTAGCCCTGCTGGACGCAAAGGAATCGTTGCACGGTGCACGCGCGCCCGACCGTGACCTCAGGCGCGGACGCAGCGAGGACAGTACAGTCGACAGAAAATACATTTTGTTGCAAAATAACACGTATTACGATTAAGTAAGGTGCTACAGTGTTTAACTTAGGGCGCTGTAGGCTTGTAAACTCGCGAGTGCAAAGGAAATGTAGTTATATTCATGTAGATCCAAAATCCGTTTTATCATTGTATCAGCGCAGAATAAACTAGACTTCAAATGGCCAGACCAACCAGAACTACTCAACATGTTTCTAACAGCAAACTATTTGGCAAAAGGCAACTCTGGTGGCTCTCTGTGGTGTAAGCACTACGACAAGTGGATGATATAATACTCATAATGACTCATTATCTACTAAGTATTGAAGAGTAATATTAAATTGGCCCAGTTTTCAGTTGTGCAGAAACTTCATAATTTAATATCAATCCATTCCAATTTTACTCAAAAATTACAAATCAAGACATATCAAAAACAGATAAGTGCAAAATAATTGCTTGTCTTTTAGATTAGTTAAATAAATTGAGCATAATTAATCAGTTGATCTTATATTTGTCGCAGTCGGATTGTATAATCCGCCGTTTTACATTACCACTAGGCATTTTACATTACAGCTCTGTTTTGTAATACGGCGGTTCAACGTTTAGGCGGATTGAATACGGCTGAATGAAAATCCGCCGGAATGTATTCGGCGCCAAACGTTCTTCAATACGGCTAGCCGTAATGTAAAACAGCGTGTCATTACCCGCCGCTTTGACAGTTTTTAGTTCCCATTTTCAATACCGTGGCGCTGCCTGACATAACAACAACAATGGCGTCGGATGCAGAAAATGTGTTGCTAAATTACGGAATTATTTCTGAATCGAATAAAGAAAACGTTATAACGTGTGTCGACAGTGAGTTTAAGAACAATTTTAACTTGCAATTGAAGAATTTCTATTCTTCACAATGTGGAACAGTTAAAAAACCGTGGACAAGGGACCGAGTTTTGGAGGTTATAGCCCACATCAAAACCGCTAAAGTGGCTATGGATTCTGGTGTTCGGCGGAATCCTACTCAATATTATTGGTGCAAAAAGTATGATATTATGACAGTGGCCGGTGAAGATTTTGAGATATCTTTTATTTTAAGATGTTTGTACCTTGTGATTACTCATTATGTTTAAAAATGACTAAATCCAAATCTTTCATTATATTATTAACTTTCAAAAAAAGTTTATTTGTTTTGAGATAGCTGTCCTTGTGATTTATAAACATACAAAAAAATTACTGAAGCCAAATATATTATTTAGCATTACTTACAGTAACGAAGATAATAATTCTTACTTAATCACTAAGGAATATCGTGAGAAGAAATCTTTCGTATTAAAATTTATTTACATTAAACATTGTTTTATTTTGTAAGTATGGTCACCCTACAATCTAAATAGTAGTACGATGCGGCTAAACGTGGGCCGCCGTATTGAAGAACGTATCGCAATGACAATCCGCCTAAACGTTGAACCGCCGTATTACAAAACAGAGCTGTAATGTAAAATGCCTAGTGGTAATGTAAAACGGCGGATTATACAATCCGACTGCGACATATTCATTAATTAGTCACTAATGTTAGTATTTTTTTATTGTGTCTGTGCCTTATGAACATTGCAAGTCACATTATACACTCAGTTACTACCTTAATACCTATTTTTGCTGATGATATGATGTCTTAAACACAATTTATTTAGAGTTGCCAGTACCTCCTAACTGCATTTTTTTTTTTGTTTATAGGAGGTATAAAAAAATACGTAAATATTACTTGCAGCTATTTCCACAGAGTTTCATTGCTATCTAAAAGGAAATATCAGTTAGGGGAAAAATTTCAGGACAACAAAAGCAGGACAGGCCAGACAGGCCAATATTTGGCCGGACAAGATCATAAAAAGCCAAACATGTCAACCCTAGACATGACAGGCTTAGGAGCAAGAAGTTAAAGGAAGTGGGCAAAGTTCAGGGTTTTATAAAGATAAACAAGAAGAAAGTACCTACCTACCCGGAGAGTAATTGAGTGAGTAAATAAGAAGAAATTATAATTAATAGTTTGGTTCAGAATAATTTTGGCAAATCCAATTCGAAAGTTTATAATAGGAAATGATCTAGGAACAAATAGGTTATTTCTTGCCCAAGTAGGTACCCACAGGTAGAAATTGTAAAAAGTTTTGTATTGTGTGCAGGTAATCCATGTGTACCTACCATGTTTTCAACAATTTCTACAATAAATCTTATTGGAATTCAACAGTTGCAATGCAAATGATGAGTTTGTTGTTGGTAGGTACTGCCACTAGTAATAAAATGATATCAAGAATGGATTATTGTTTCTTTGATATAGGAATGTGGTTCAGCCTTTCATTTTGTCCGCAATTATTAGACCTTGTTAAAATGAGCATTAGTCATCAAATACAAATCCAAGACTGGATTGTTTCTATCGGTACATCAACATTCAAAGTCCTAATAGTAACCTTCAGGAACAGATACATATTTCTTCATAGACGACAGGTATTTCAAAACGTTAAAAGCCAGACACAGTCATGATAAAAGAAAAAATATTTCTGTGGACGAACGAACTAGAAGCGAAAAATGGCGTTTCAAATTCATGGTTTTCCATGTGTTTTCATGTGCAATTCTTTGCAGATAGCAAACCAACGAATAATGCATTGATGAAAAACTGTTCAAGAGTGCGTAGAGTAATGAAATATTATTAATAAAACCAATAAATCTTACCTTTCTACAAAATTGACAGAAACACACAGCACAGAGAAATTTCACTGATTTCAATGCTGACAACATTAGCAAATTAACTTTGTTGGTACGATTTTCAAGGTTGCAAGCCTGACTGCGTTTTGATTAAAATAAGATTTTGATTAAATTTTATTTTATTTTTATTAATTCATAAGACTAGAATGGAAATATTTCCAAATCTAACAAAGTAAATAATTCTCTTTACTGTTACTTTTTAAAAATATATCTGTAAATTACAATTTTCTAAAACATTTTTCAGTGCAGTTGGAAACAAAACGCAAAATCCGAGTTTTTGTTTCATAGTGACGTGCTTAGGTTAGAAAGTAATACTTTCAATTAATATCGTATTGAAAGTATTGAGAATCGAAAATAAAAGTTTAAAAATTAGAAAATATAGAAAAAAAATATTAATGATCGCCAATGAGTTTTTACCCGACTGCGCGACGCAAGGGAATGTAATGTGTTTATTTCAGTGTTAACTATTCTATAGGTATTGTTCGGTTTTATGAATTTCTCGGTTAATTCTTCTGTTGTCAGTGATTAGGCATTAGTCAATATTTTACAAATAAATGTTAAATATTTATGCCCAATTATTTGCTATTTAACCAATGTATTATCGATGCGACTACTGGGTGCGTCAGAAAAATGAAACAGCAATGAGTAGGTGGTATACAATGGGGAACCTGTGGATTTACTCACTCCGTCAAGCGGCGTACATCGTTGCAAGAAAGATCCCCATAAAGCAATATTATTAACACTGTCAAAATGTTTTAATCATCGGCGTATCTTTGAATCTGTAGGTAGCCCAACATCCTGGGGCGGGCAATCGGGCATCCCAGCTCCTGCTATAGTATACGGTTTCAGTAGCAGATTTACGAATTTGCCAGTTTTGAAAATTATTAAATGTGACGCTTTAGACTTCAGCAACTCAGCGCTGATGTGCTTATACTTATACTACATGGTAGTAGGGAAACGTACAGAAAAATTGTACCTAATTTCGGAACACTAATAATAACAATTTATTAGAACACAATTAAATTAGGCCTCTGGTGCGACGACACACGTTAACCATCTACGAAAAGAGCTTTTGCATGAGATGGAATCGCTATTTTTTTTTAATTTGTGTTGAGCAGCTACTTACTCGTATTCAGTTCAATAAAATCCTAGTATTTCCTTACAGTTCGCCTCCGAGTCCTGCATCCATTAGAAAGTGCAGTATCTTTTGGGGGGCGATATGTTTTACATCTTGTGGGCTTATGATGTGGTTGCCTAGGTGTAAACTCCACTTGCGCATCAGAGGTCGGCAGTCCGTGAGAATGTGTAGCACAGTGGCGTTTCATCTGCCTCTTGGCACATCCTGCACGTTTTTGTTTCGGGCAGTCTCATAGTGGACAAGTGCTTGTTTAAGTGAGGGCAGTGACTGCAGTGTCCAGTGAGGGCTCGAACTAAGATGCGCATTTTAATCTTACTCAGTCCTTTGATCTGCTTAGAGCTTTTTCGGTCATAGAGAGCTTTGGAATGAGTTAATCCTAGCGTGTCTGACCATGCCATAAAGGATTTGTTTAAATTGATGTTCTCGAGGGTCATTCGAGCGAGACTTTTGGGAATGCCACAAAAGGGTTCTGGACCATATTGTGTTCCCTCCGCTCCCGCTCTGGCTGGAATCTCGACCTATCCTATTCAATGTATTTTTAATCAATAAAAAAAGGTTTTTATGATTTTGTCTATGTCGTAGTATGCAATAAATAAAATTATTATTCAATTAGTTTATGAACGGTCATCTAAAAGTAATTGAATAATGGATATTATGACATCACTAGTTTGTCAATATGACAACATCACTTTGCTGCTTGTCTGTCAATGTCATATAGTGTTTTTTCATGACGGGTTGTGAACTTGTGAGTTTAGTGTAAATTTCAAGGTTTTGTCATATTTTTATCTACAAAACAAGTTTAAACCGCTTTGCGAAAAGCTATTTGTGAATATCATATGTGCAACCATCTGTTACAAACCGTAAATACTCTTATAATGCTGCATGATTTTATGAAAATAATATGTCTGACTTAGTTTTAATCTGCAAATAAAAATGTCTAATTTCGGTGTCGGGGTATATTTTCTAACTGTCTTGTGGATAATCACTTTGTTTCTGTGCTGGGTCTCTGTACGGACAGGTCATTACATTGGGAAGATATCAGTAGGAATATCGTTTTTACTAACAATCATTTTGGTTTCATTGCCAAAAGGGGACGCGCAGAACATTCATGGTGCCAATTTTTACGATCACTTGTTCGTGACTCGATACGCAATTCTTTCGTTTATGCTTGTCAGTGTTGTAGCTGGTACTGCCTATAGTTTTATTTATGTTTGTCTTGCTCCTGTTGAGACTCAAAAAGTTAAGACATTTGGCTTGTTGAACTAAGTTACTCATAAGTTGCTTTGGTAAGTTTTTTTGTAACTCTTCTGTATTTATTACCATTTACCATTCATTCACTAATATGTTTGTAGGGATCATTAACTAGTACCTAAATGAGAAACATCCTTTTGTCTGTTGTTATCACTATCATTTGCTAAATGAGAGCTTATTCATACAAACATTATCTAACATGGTGTATCTCACGTAGACTGCTTGTTGACTTTGATCTTTACAGCAGCCTTGCCACAATATTTAAGTGAAATCTTTATGTTATAATGGTTTATTTCTTTTACTTACTGGTAGGTACTTCAGTTACTAAATAAATTATATAACTAAGTAGTCAATATGTGGATTTTTTTTACCAAGTGGTAGCCAAGTTTCAGAATGTGTCTATAACTGTAACCTTATCATCAGATTGTTTTAGATTCTCTTATTATACAAAGATACCTTTGCAATATCTTATCAAAATTAAGTGGTAGATAACTATTTTGGCTGCTATATAATTTGAAGATAATCTTCTCCAGTAAAGTATTAGCAGGACCGGTCTTTGTGGAAATCCTTGGGGGAGGCCTTTGTCCAGCAGTGGACATCTTTCGGCTGAAACAAACGAACGAAAGTATTAACTGAAGGCAAGTCAAATATTCTAAACATAATATCTTTACTTTCAGAAAATGTCTAACACAATTTGCCAAGGGTTGAGGTCCCCGATCAGGAGCCTAGCGAAACTGAGACAAGCAAAAGCAATCTCCACGTCAATAGTCCACAATGAGACTATTTTAGTGAAAAATAATGAAGAATTCATCAATAAGGTAAGTAAAGTAAACTGTTGTAAACTGAGTAGCTATAAATTAACCATTCAAGATTTACACAGTACCTGTCTGATTAGCTGTGATTTTGGAAGTACTAGGTAGTATGATACTTTGTGATTTATCTAGTATGAGTTGAATGTGAAACTTGCTTAAAGAATGTACAAACAAGAACTTAGTTTCATAAATTGTGAAGCATTATTTCAAAATTCCAAGTGTAGTTTTTCTTTTTTTAAACTGAATACTATAAATCTTTAGTGAAAACATTATCTAAAATGTTTATTAAGTTACATCAAAGAAAGTAATAGTAGTAAAAAAAGAAATCTTAATTTGTATCAGGTGATGAACAACAACAAGCCAGTCATAGTGAATTTCCACGCGGAGTGGTGTGAGCCATGCAAGATACTCACTCCGAAGCTGAAGGAACTGATCGAGCCACTTAATAACCTTGATTTAGCTGTAGTCGATGTAGAGGACAATGCTGACTTGGTGCATACCTTTGAGGTACGTAATTTTTAGTTTAATTTTTGTTTTTAGGTCTATACAGGCATTAGGTATTAAATTGTGTAGAAATGAATCAGCTTTGGAGGACCGGTCTTTGTGGAAATTCTTGGGGGAAGCCTTTGTCCAGCAGTGGACGTCTTTCGGCTGAAAACGAACGAACGAACGAATTTGCTAAAACATTTGTGCTCAATATAACTTCATAGTGAATATCTTCTTTTATTCGGTGATAATTGACGAAAAACTCAGTCTTGTAAGTGAGAAATGTGTTTGATTTTTCTAAAACACAGATCACAAAAACTAAAGGAAGATGTGACAAGAGGGTGGGGCCGGTGTCGCAGCAATATGCCCAAAAACAGAACACATTGCTGCAGACATCATAATGTAAACAGTTTACATTGCTTGCGTAATACTAAAGAAAACGTTGAGTACTGATACCACAGTGGATAATGAGCACGTATTTTGATTACTTTGTGTGTGTGAATTTCTAATGCGACACTGAGTTTCGAACTCAGCGCATTAGTTGGCATCTCTCTAAACCTCTATGTTCTAAAATATGACAACTGGTATAGTTAGTAACATTTTAGTTTTTGTGTATAAAGGATGATGGGCATATTGGGCGTTAAACCAACAGAAACAAAAAGTATACTAAATTAAAGCTTAATACTAGTACTTCATTTCATAGTATGACAACAATCCTGAAATACGCGTGGATACGGAGATAGAGGTCGTTGAATATGTAAAGTTTCCATAGTAGGTATTTCACATCACATTAGGGTAATAAAAATAGAATTAGGTCAATTAGATTGTTTTTATCGATCATATTGAGAGTATTGTATCATATCTTACTATCGATTCTATCGATTTAGTACTATGTATACCGAATAAATCATAATCGATTATTCGATTGCAATAATCGATTACATTTCTGAAAATAAGGAATTGAATTAACAATCAAATGATAGTAATGATGGTAATCAATAAAATCGATTAATCGAATTGTAATCGATAAATCGTTATTTGGCAATATCGATTAATAATCGATCCGTGATCGATTATGCGACAACACTACAACTTAACTGGTAGAAATCCTATTGAAACATGACTGTGTTCATGTCATTTCTCTAAATGGTACCTAGGTATGGTCCTACGCTTATAATGTTTAAATATACCATTTGTTGGCCCCACTCCTGAACTGTTGGACATAATAATGGATAAATAACTTAATGTATTTAAAATGTAAGTAGATAAGTTATATTAATTAATAATATTTTTTGTTTGCGCAATAAAGCACCTATTACTATTACCCATTATGTCAATTTCCAAGCAAACCCGGGAGTTTTTGGTAGTTATTTATATGAAAATATATTTCTGATATTAAGTCCTAACAAATAATAGTAGTTACATTTCTGTTGGTTTTACGCCCAGATGCCATAGAAAAGTGCCCATCATCCTTTAGTCTCAAGTTTTCACGCACTATTTCAGGTAAAAGCAGTTCCAGCAGTCATAGCCATAAACAATGGTTTGATAGTTGACAAATTCATCGGCCTGGTCGACGCAGACATGATCACCAGCCTCATCGACAGAATGGCCGGTAAAAAGAAGGAGGGAGCGTAAATAGGAAACCTGCATATTATAGATGTTATAAATGAATGGGATATTGGCTTTACACACATCGGATGTTGGCTTATGAGATTGGTGATAAAAATGAAGGTTTCACACTAGTTTTTAATGTGCTTGATACAATTCACAACAGGACAAAATAATCATAGCTGGGCATTAACTCGTTAATCCGTTAATCGTTAATTAACGAAGTTAACATTTCTATTAACGGATTAACTTTTAAGTTAACTTAAAAAATGTTAACGGACTCGTTAACTTCCGTTAAATTATCCTAAGTCCGTTAATCGTTAATCCAGTACCTGCTATTTTCCAAAAAGATACAGCAGGCACGCTGAAAAACACAAAAAGGGAGTGCCTCCGCTGCGGCGCCGGTTTCCAAAAATATCGCCATTGGGAACCGGCGGTGATACCACGTGATACACTGCGGGCAGTCAAAACAGCTGCCGGCGCTGGCACTCAGTAAAAGTAAAGGCAACCGGCAACAGAGGGTTCAAGTCAAGTGCAAAAAGCTAGTTTCCAAAACCGAAATTTTTTATTACTTTAAAGTTTGTATTGTTTTTCGATAGCTGCGAGTTTGTGTGACATGTTTTTGATACACTTGCATAAAAATAAAAGTCGGTGATGAATATTCGTCTTATGAAGAGTTCGAAAACGCTTAAATATAAAAACAGTGTCTACAACGAATAAAGACTATATTACTCCGCCTGAGTGCCATTAAAAAAAATTCTTAAATTTAAAGTAGAACTGAATGAAAAACACAACCATCAATCATCTAAGTCCTATTTTAATTCTCTTTCTCAGCAAAGATTAAAATTGCCAAAAACTGTTAAAGATCAGGAACTGTTAATTTAAGAGCAGGCGCTAATAAAAAATTGTATTAGATCAAAATAATTCAAAAACAAACTGGATGCAAAATTACTCTAAAAGACTTGACCAACTTATCAAGGACTGAAAATAAGACGTTTACATAATGTATTGACTTGTCGAAAAATACCTACAAAATATGTAACATTAGTAAAGTATGGATCAGCATCCGGCGGCTGCCGAATCAGTGACCGGTGCCGGCTGCCGAATCAGCCGCCGGCGCCGGCAGCGGAGGCACTCCCCTAGAAAAACGCGTTCTGGTACTTGTCAGAAAGTACTAGAACTTCCAGAACCCAAAACAACAGTTTTTGTAACCAGAACGAAACGATATAAAAATGCTATTTATTTATGTATAAGCTTTATATTATTATTGACTTCACTTGTTAGTAGGTAACTAGGTATGTGTGTGGGACAAATCTTGCAACTGAATTTAAGACCAGTTCTCCTCAAACGATTGAGCTGAAATTTGGTATAATTATGTAAGTACGATGGAAATGCAATGTGGTGGTACCATTGAGCTGGTCTGATGATGGAGTCAGGAGGTGGCCATAGGAACTCCTAAATGAAACGGCGGAATCGCATCGAATTTGGGTTCGTTGGATTTGTATTTTCAAGCACTTTAGTACTAGATGATGTCCAGGGTCCTGATGATGGAGTCAGGAGGTGGCCATATGAATTCCTAAACGAAACGGTGGAAACTTATCGAGTTTGGGTTTGTTGGATTTGTCTTTTCGAGCACTTTGGTGCTAAATTGTAATGTAAATTGAACCAAGGCTCTGAGTTTGAGATACTATAAGACTAAGAGCTGCTGAACGCCAGACCAGATACGTTACTAAAACGAAAAAAATTATTGTATGCAAGGTTCAAATAATTTCGAAAGCTTGTAGCGCAAACATAAATAAAAAGAGAAATAAAGTCCATGCGCGATACAAGCTTTCGAAATTATTTGAACCTTGCATACAATTACTTTTTTCGTTTTATTATCATGTATTAACGGATTAACGATTAACGTTAACTTGCGTTAAATCTTGCTAAATGTAACGTTTTAACGTTTAACGAAGTTAATTTTTTTATTAACGGTTTAACGATTAACGAAGTTAACTATTTGATTAACGGTGCCCAGCTATGAAAATAATAATATAGAATATCAATATATCGCAAATAGTGAAGGGAGTGTGTTATTTGTGAGTTAAAATCCAAAAGTATCTACTGTACAATGCCCTTCACTTCTAAGCAGGTAATTTACATGACAAGCCATTCATTGTTATCACTAAACTCAAAAAGAAAAACAGGGTTTTAGTTTCATTATTTATCATAGTAATGTCTTTGTAACCAGTCTTACTCGTAGGCTGGGTTGCACCATCTTACTTTGACTTTAACAAACGTCAATAATCTGTCAAACTTCATACAAAATGCACCGGTAATTGTTATACCTAGTTAAATAAGATGTAAATAAGATGGTGCAACCCAGCCTTAGTCTTTGTTTAGTTTAGTTTATAAAATATGATTTAGGTCAATGTGTCATTCTATTATAATAGACAATTCCACTACATTTCATTTGTTATCTATTATTTTTATGTGCCAATATCTCAGTCAGTTTAAGTAGATAAAAATCACAATTATTGTTGTTTAAAGTTTGATTTTATTTAAGTAAATAGCACAAGCAATAAGATATTGTTGGAAAAGTATAATTAAAATGTCGTTATCTAATTATGTGGGGTATTTGATGGATCTTTAACGATGCTAACTAATGATTTAAAAGGGCCTAGTCTTGGAAAGACTGTTTTTGCCTGAATAATTAGTTGTTTGTGTATAAGTTGTTATTGCCGCACTTTAGGAAAGATGGGCGATTGTGAATGAGTCTAGCTAGTTAATTAAATGACAATTATATTGCTGCTTTAAATATTAAGCTTAATCGCAACATATCCTCGATAAAAATTCAACTAGAAAAGTAGCTTAGAACTTTTTTTTGTAAGTTGCCCACGTTTTAAAAACCGTATGAGACAACATGCTAGTTTGAATAGCTTTTTTGTCGATTCAAAAATTTGCTAGTCATGTATTCGCTCTAAACTTCGAACTCCAGCAATAGTTTTCAGTAAAATTGATATTCACAGATGTGAATTTTGATTAAATGTAATAAGAATACTTACTGGTACAATTTGGAAAGTATTTTTACCTTAGAAAATACATAATAGCAATAAACCTACTTTAATGGTTTAGGTACATTATCTTAGTCATTAAACTATCATTATGTTCTGCTGATAGCTCTTTTGATGAGATGTAGTGCTATTAAGCATTCTACACACTTAAGTCGTCGACCGACTAACAATTTTTTCAAGAATGTAGTTTTTAATGATATGCTAAATCATCGGCACGCGTCGGCGACTTGTCTATAGAATGTCTTATGTTTGTTACTCTGGTTGGTTTCAAGGATAAGTAGCGATTGACTTTAGCTTTAACTAATCAGAACATATCTCGGCTTTTTATACTAAGCCAGCCTTATTAATCGTTTTGCAAAGTTATTCAAATCATAAATTCAATAAAACTGCACTCGGCCCGTGAGGTATGTTCTTAATGAGAGGGATAAAATGATAACTATATTTTTGTAAATGCTGCATGCCTTCGTTTAGTTACACTGGCTTTTTACATACTTTTCAACTTTATAGTTTTATACTCTATCTACTGTTTTTTATAACACTAATTAAATTAGATAAGATAGTTATTATGATAGTTGAATTTAAGATTTAAATCTTATGAAGAGTATATATTTTCTCTTACAAGCGCGAATAAATAGATTCTGATACAATTATGATTCTTAACTGCCAACTTACTTTTTTCCCTGATAATTTATAGTGTCCACTGTCTTCTAGAATGTAATAGTTTCTTGAAAATGTAAGACTAGTATAAACTTAGAAACAAATACATATTTAGACGTTAACTGAAAAAAAAATCCAAGTATACAAAATATAGAGATTTTCTGATAAATACATTCTATAATTGATGTATAGTTGCTGCACATCGATCACAAATTTACTTTGTTATCTCACTCGTGTAATAGATGACGCTGTGCGTTATTACACTGCGCTAGTTTCGGTGTTACCCAATTCTGCTAGTAGTTTTCACTTTAGACTTTCTGCAGACTATAGATTTTTAGTATGAGTACAGATAATGTAATACTAGTGTATAAAGAATCGTCTGATACCAACGAAATCGGTGTACATAACATAATGTGCATACTTTCTGATATTGACGTGGGACTTTCTGATATGACCTTTTTTGAGACATGCAGAGCGACATTGTGACGCGCTTTTAATTTTTATACAGTTTCGCAATCCCATCGACATTACAGTGAAAAAAGTTGTGCGTTTCTCATGCCTTTAATTAATTTAAAGGTGTTATAATACCCCAATCAAACTATCGGCCTACAAAAAGTATATAGTCTGCAGGATTTCTTATAAAGATTTCCTATCGGATAAGGTGCTTTTGTATTCCATCCGTGTGTGTGTACCCCTCTAGTGATTTATAATAATCGAATATACTATGTATACGTAGTAAATAGACGTAGGAAGGTTGATAACATACAATGTAAGCCAGATTTGTCAATGTGTAGACAAAGTCTATAAAATGCAATTGTAGTAAATATATCTTTTTTAATGTAGTGCAGTGCTTTAGCTAGGAGCTGCTTAGTAATGATTATAGGATAATGTCACATCTCAGTTCCTTCGACAGGCTTACAACAGCACAAATTAATTTATTAGCGTAGACAAAATATCACACTACACAAAACGCATTAATATTTTCCCACATTTAGTAATAAATCCTCTCAAACAGTTTTGGGAATTTATCCCGTTTTTCATGTTTCCATTTAGTTGTAATTTTTTGAAATCAATTTTACATGCGTCTAACAAAGCAATAAACGTCCTAAATCCTAACGAAAAGTATTACGATTGTGGTGCAATTATTTTGTAGTTTCACGTGTTAATACCCACACCGTTAATTCGTAGTTTTCGAGCTTACGATAGAATAATGTCCTGTGTACGACCATATTCGGGTCCATTTTACCTTTTTGATGTGATGTGTATTAGATAATGTGTTGTTGGTTTAGGGTAGATATTGTGTAAGTAAATAAACCCCTGCTAACCTGCTTGATTGTCCAGTAGCACCATTGATTCTTAGATGCAACATTAATATTGTTTAAAAATCAGTAAAAAGAGACGATAACAGAAAGGAATTGAATTTTAATTTTAAAGAAATGTATCGAATCCATTTATTATGTCGTAAAAATATATGAAATATTTTCTTGAATAACTTGTTTTTATTTAGTAACCCTTTTCTTCTAGTCTATTGCAAAGTTGTTGTCAAAAACTTATTAAAATTTTCAAGACTTAGATTTTTTTCAAATAGTTGCATGTATCCAACTCTATTGTTCTCTGCGTTTAGCAGTGCAAGAGTATTCAAATTCAAAACGTTTATTGCATGTCACATTACAATTTATATAACCACCACTAAACGTAAATATAGGGGCTGATAAATAAAATTTCATGAATTCCAAGTACCACTTTATTTCGGGATATTTATTTTGATATTCATAATAACACAATTCAACAGTTATATTCGGCGGTTTTCACTCAATGCCTAATGGAACTCTGACGTTTTTAATCTGCATATGCCCTAACAAATAATGCAATAAATTCGTTTTTGAAGTGTTATAAGGTACATATTTTGTTTGTGTACATCTCATAAAACTCAAATCAAGTCGAATGTCATGTTTGCATATGCAGAAAACACATCTCTGTGGACGGATTGTGCTTCCTATCATTTAAAATCTACTTTGTTAATATTTTTAAGACATCAACTGCATACCGTTCATCCATTGACACACGACACAATATTATAACGTATTGTATTACGAGCGAAACACAAGTGAGGTAAAGAAAATTCGAACGAAATTGACATGTAACTTCATAAGTTTCAAGGAATAGTGTTCCTTAGAAATAATAACTATAGTACACATTGATAGAGAATCGAATGCAAGAACATTATAGGTGATCGCCACGTATGATTCGGTGGACTCTATAGTGTAAACCGCCTTTAAGTGGAGCATAAGTACATTGCGATGTTCTTATATTTTAAATAATTAAATTCAAGAGCGCAATACTATATCTTAACAATTATCTATTCATATATAATATGGGCTTAGATACGCTCACGATTATAAAAAATCAGTCTAAAATATATTAAGGCAACTTGAGAATATATACTCATTTTTGTGGTCCGTTCGCATTTGCTACCAGTGAAAGGAAGATTAAATTCCATAGAAGTTAAAATGTCATCGTAAAACAAGCAGTTTCTTTAACATTTTTATAATATAAGTAAGACTATTTTTGTAATTAACTTATTGGTATGTAAATTGTACACTTAGATAGCAAATGCGAAGGATACTAAAGCGAGTGAAAATACTAGTTTAAGTATCGATTGTATCTTCAAAAAATATTAAAAAGAGATCGTGATTTAAATTTAGATCGTTATAATGCTTAAATGTTTTGAAATAGGTAACAAGATTCTTTTAGTGGAAAAGATTTGTCAAAAGATTTAAAAACTAGTACTATCAACTCGCCGCAGGATAGAATGTGCATTGCATACATAATAATAATGTAAACATTTCAACATGACGGGGAAGGTCTCAAACGTTAATAACTTTAGAAAGAAAATCGTTTTCAATCAAGCTTATTACAAGCACACTCGCGAATAAATACCGCATTTGAGTCACGATATAAATAATTTTAATATTAAATATTGAAACTCAAGACCGATTTCCACAAAATTATGATTTCTTTTTGATTCAGTTTACGTTACTAATGAATTAGCACATTCCAATTTAGTATGATAATATCTGCGATATGTGCTTATAATAATTAGATATACAACTAGTGTTGCGCGCGCTCCGACTGTACAATAACATTATTTAATAATTTAAATCCCCTTAAATTTATAAAACTCAACGTGCCATAATTTCACATTACCTTCGATCATAAACAATACATAGATATAAAACCGGCCAAGTGCGAGTCGGGCTCGCGCACAAAGGGTTCCGTAGCAGCAACAGTTAAATCAACCTATCTCAAAAACTATAAGAGATACTTTGATCAAACCAAAAATCGTTGAAAGAGTTAATTAGCATGCATCACCTCTATTTTTTTTAGAATTTTATACCCCGTAGTTATAAAAATAGAGGGGGGGGGACATACTTTTTACGACTTTGAGAGCTGATATCTCAAAAACCGTTCACTTTAAGAAAAATGTTTTTTAGAAAACTTTATATCATTTTAAAAGACCTTTCCATTGATACCCCACACGGGTATGTACATCGAAAAAAAATTTTTATCCCTCAGTTACATGTATGGGGGGCCCCACCCCCAATTCTTTTTTTTACTATTTAGTGTCATAATTTTGTAGCGGTTCATACAACACATATTCCCATCAAATTTCATCACTGTAGTACTTATAGTTTCCGAGTAAATCGGCTGTGACAGACGGACAGACGGACAGACGGACAGACGGACATGACGAAACTATAAGGGTTCCGTTTTTGCCATTTTGGCTACGGAACCCTAAAAATGCATCACAAGTATACATATTTAACAAACAACAGTCATTATTAATTAAAAAGTAATTAAGCCTCGTACACACTTCTGTGTTAAAATGCAAAGGCATTTTTTATGATGCTTTATGTCCCAGACTACGTCAGGCGGCGACCGAATGTGTACTCAGCTTAAAAGAGAACACCTAATACATATTTCATAATAAAAGATTCATTTGGTGTCGAAGAAAGACTAAGATTTTTTTGGGGTAATTTTTACTTAAATTTAGTGAAGAAAAACATAACAAAAATAAAAAGAGTACTCTTCTTATCATAATAATGTATACACGTTTTTTTATATATTAAGAGATAAATATACAAATGTTTACATATTATTTTACATTATATACAATTATATTTACACAGCGAACGAACCTGTCTACCATAAAGCTACTCACACACAACAAAGCGTTTACTCTTATGTATATACATCGTGGATTTGGGTTTATGCAAACTATACTGTAACATAAATCAGGTTTTGGTTACAAGGAAATTTATATTACAATTTATTATTATGTATAAATACTTTATACACGCACAAAATGTACTTAAATTTTATCAATGACGTACATTTCATTTTTTTAAAGATTATAAAGCTTATTTTTAACCCATTGTACCTGCGTATGATTGTATTTTAAATTAAAATGAAATATTTCGTAACAATAGTTTGTGACACATTTGGGATCAATAGTACCTTTGGTCTTGGCACAATTTATTTAAACAGTGTCTACGCGTGTAACACTTCATAGCTTATGTAGTTAAACTTTTAAGACATTGGTTACAATTCATAGTTCCCATATTACTATAACTAAAGAGAGGAACTTCAAAGAAATATAAAAAAATATAAAAATCAGGCAGTTCTAAATCACACAAGTTCTAAAGATTTGTGTCTAGATAATTTAGAACACACTGTCCGCTATTCCTAATTTCCTACCCTCGTTACTAGTTTAGAACTTACGAGAAACGGAATGAACTTATTTAAACTTCAAATCGGCTGAATAAACTTGAAATTCGTAACTTTATTCTATTGGTGGCTATTAGAACAGTTTATTAAACAGAAAGTATTTACTAAGGTGCTTAATTTTATGTTTAAGTATATCTAATATTGGTTCAGAATCTATCGTAGTTTTCGTAAGATTGTAAACTAGTACAAATAGCCAAAATATACACCGACACTTACACAATTACGCTTTTAAATTCGATACTAGCGAACTCAACCTAATCTCGTTCGCGTTTGGTTTGATTTTGCATACGTTACCCCTTTTTATTAACAGGGGTACATATTTCTTGTCATTTTTATGAGTATTTAGCTCACGTTCAAGTTATTATTTACTATTTATAACATAAAAGGTTGGGTTGATGACATATTTTGTGGAACTGATCTGTGAATTGTGACAGAGGATGTAAATTTCATCAGGAACTGTCAGATTTCATTGCCTCTTGAGTCAATAAATTAATTTCTCAGTGATAGGAACATAATATTTTAGTATATTACAATGAGAATCAGATGGATAGTTTAACCTAAGGTTTGTTTTGGAGATCTTCGCGTTAACGATACAGGAGTCGAGGTACAGTCCAATCCTTAAGTCTAACTTCAAGACCGATAAGCTATAATAGAGCTTAAGTCAATGCTATAAAGTTTAAACTTCGTCGCCGAGGTCTTGCACACAGTTTTCCGCGATAGGAACGAATTTGTCATCAATTTCTATGAGCAAGATGCTTTTGTCTACGTGGGAGCGGAGTTTGGGGTCCCTGTGGTTTGGAATCCATTTGTGCACCACCTGAAATTAATGTTTAATTATGTACGGACAACGGCTAGACACTGGCATCTATGTGGCGGTGATATCTGTTTAAAAACAGTGATTTTATTTTTTAATTACAACCACACAAACTGTATTTATAAACTGTAATAATTTCATGCTATCAACGTTCAATAGCCTGTTTCTTTATGTGATAGAAAGAAAGAAAAATAGTTTATTTGGTTCAATCATAGTTCAACACAATTTAAATAATTTATTGAACCAAAATGACTCCTACTCAGCGTGTATCATGTTCTACTTCATGTCAATTCAATTCAATTTTTAAGTGACCCCTATGAAAACAAAATTCCCGTTATGTGTTACCATAGGGGTCACTTGCGTGGGACGTCCACCCACAAGGTGGTCCGACGACATCATAAAGGTAGCAGGAAAGCGCTGGACGCAGGCCGCTACCAACCGGGTAACATGGAAAGCATTGGGGGAGGCCTATGTTCAGCAGTGGACGTCCTATGGCTGAGATGATGATGATAGGGGTCACTTAAAAATTAGGGATTATTCCTCTTACCAGTCCATCCATCCCAGCTAGAGGCACCCAGCTGCCCCAGAAGTTCCTCCCGCCCCTTTCCCTCTGGTATTCAGAGGGCCACTGCACGTCAATCCTCCTCCCCAAGTTGATACAATCGTACACTCCCAAAGGCTCCGTTATCAACACTTTACTCCCCACACTGACGTTTATCTTCAACTCACTCTTCCCCGAATCCGAGCGCTTGATCTTTGTCTTTATCTCTTTAGTTTTTGAGTCCTTTTTCGAGTCCTTCTTCAGGACGGACTCCTTGTGGGACAAGTCCGAGTAGTGAGTCTCTTTCAACGGTATCGATTCGGGCTTCTCGATGTATCGACCGGTGAGCTCTCGGTAGCTCTCGCGCTCGTGACGTATCTCTTTGCTGAGCTTCGATAGGTCTTTCGATGTGCCCTCGTTTATGAAGTATCTGTAACAGAAGTGTGACGTCATTCGGAGTTTTAAAGTGAATGAATGAGTTTTAGTAATGATAAAAAATTGGAGAAGTAGAGATGAAATGTTCATTTATTAGTTGATGGCCATGAAGAAGACAGAGCCGATGTCATGCCATGTCAAAGTATTGAAGTTATGATTGTAAAATTATGAACTTGTTTCACCAGTGTCTAATAAAGTTTGGGATTTTTAACTGCAAATGCAATATAAAGATAAAGTAGACCAGAGGTGGAATTCTGTAAAGCAATCGTAATAATTTGACAGTTCATAACGTACGATTATCCTGTCAAACGCTTTGTTTAACTGACTTTATCGTACGTTATGAACTGTCAAATTATTACGATTGCTTTACAGAATTCCATCTCAGAATCAACTGAAATTCATCATCAGGTCATTTAGCCTCCATCGCGGGAGCATGGCTCAAATTTACTTTTAGAGACTTTACCAGCAACTAGTGAAACAGTACCTCTAGTACGAAACTTTCGACTTCAAATCGTTTGCGTATTTGAGTCGCCCATCAAAAGATTTAGTATGAACACTTAAACTGAACGTAACGTTATATGAGAAATGATAGCACGAAGCTAATTTTGACAGTCAAGATCGTCACGTTATCGTTGAATTCGAAGGCTGGGTATCGAATTTTGTCACAACACAACAAACTGTCGCAAACGAGTCGAAGACGAAAGTTGTTAGTGCTAGAGGTACTGGTCCAAAAACAGTATGATACAGAATAAAAATGCTTGAGAAAATAACGTTTGTTAGTCGTATACCTAGAAATCAAAAAATCCTAGTAGCTTTCACCTATTCGCATTTCACCGTGATAGCGTTTTTTGTTGTAGCATGTAATATCGGTAGTATATTTTGTTACTAGCATATATTTTTAACATATTTTTACAACAGTAGCGAATTTTGATGTAGCATGTATTATCAATAGCCTATTTATCAAGCCGACACAGGCAGGAAAGTAAATCTACTACGAATTTTTTAGACAATTGTAATTAGCGATCAAAAATTATACTACAAGAATAAAAATCTATTCAGAAATTTTGATATCGCGGCGAAATGCGAATAGCTGAAAAGTTACAAGGATTTTTTGATTTCGAGGTATACGACTAACAAACGGAAAATAGAAATGGTATGGGTGTGCAGCGTGCGTCTACCTTTTAAAGTCTCTGTCTTGCCTGGCGTTCCTGTTGGCGATGATCTTGCAGTCAGGCAGCGATAGGTCCAATCCGCTTGGAGCTAGTGCCAGGTCTTCCAACGACGATTCCGCGCTTGGGACACGCCCGCTCGACACCTGGGTATCAATTCGTTGTTTTAACAGGTGACCCCATAGATCGATTTTACCATTCGTCAAAGAGACTGTAGCCGCCAGCGACCACAGTAAAAGCGTCTTCGAATAGAAACAGTGAATGTTTGCAGCCGAAGCCACAAACAAATTTCTGCACAGAAACACACATTCGTCATCATAGAAACAGGAATGTGGCCCTAACAAGAACCGTTGTGTGCCGGTATGCACAATACTTAATCTCTTCATATCTTATCTTGATCACGTTCTGTCAGCAGATTTATCACGTATAGTGCTGATGCTGTGACGTCATTTGATCTATATCGTATAAATAGTCACGCCATCAACCATCAACAGCCCTTTACAGTCCACTGCTGGACTATGAGCCTCCTCCACTATAGTGGAGGGTTTTGCCATAATCCCCACGCTTGGCAGGCGGGTTGGAGATCGCAGTTTAAAATATTGATGTTTTTCAGAGAGCGCTGCTGCCCATTCTCTGTTTGATGTGTAGTCCCTAAAGGTTAGACCAGACCAACGCGTGCAGCCGGCGTGCACGATGACGATGGCGATGGCGACCAGACAGCGTGTATGAATTTGTAGCGATGTGTTCACATCAACGCGTCCTGTCATTAGTCGCGGCGATCTATGCAGCGTCTGCACGCAGCGATCAGCGATCATCGCGACATTTGTCACTGTGACGTTTCTGTTTTTTTAAATCGATGTAATAAATAGTAAGTAGGATCTGTTAAAAAGTTTTTACACAATTAAAAATGAATTATTCATAACATACCACTAGTCTGACCTACTTGAATAAAAAAAAGGTTTTAGAATAAAGTATCAATATCAGAATTTATTTTTTGGAAATAAACAAATTATTCTAGTTTTCTCGAGAACCTGCTTCTTCAACTTCATAAATAAAATTGGGATATTATCTGCAGAACAAAATAATTGAGAATGTACATGTCTGCAGCTTTCTCAAAGGCCCTAGAGCAATTCTAAGTACCTATGCCATAAACAAAAACCTAATTAAAGTCATCAAACGTCTCAGTCATTAATTTAGTGCCACTAGAAACACCTATTTGATCAAAACTGATGTCTTTTTGTATTTTTGGGTTATTATTGAAGACAAAAAAGATATTTGGACTATTATGTACTCTGTGGATTGGGTGCATAATGTAATTTCCTTTGCCTTAAAAAAAGTAAATGTCAAGATGACTGTTGCACCAAAAATGACAATGAAAATTGATTTTGATAGATGTTGTGTTGAGTTCTGTGTAGTTTTGTGCGATTTAACGATAAGAACGACAATGGTAAAAGGTAATGGGGGCAATTTTTTTCCCTCAAGGAAAAAGATGAATTGGATATAATCTCACTTGCCCACAAGGATACTGTACGAGCACGTCAGCATCGACCGCGACCTACAACATGCTAGCCGACTGGCCCATGAACCCTGAACGAACGTGCACCGTAGGCACTCTACACCGACGGCACATTGGACTGGACACATTGAATTTAATTTAAAAAATTTAATTGTGTACATTATGTAAATCTTGATATAGCAATAGCATAACAGTAATAAACCAGATATCAACCGTCCGCGTTGTGTTTCATTTCCCCCACTGAGGCCAAGAAAGCCTTAGTGCAGTCCTCCTTCCTATCAAACCTTTCTTTAAATCTAATTAAAAGGTATTGTTAGGGCTCTAGGGACTACAAACGAAGCCAGAAATATAGCTTGGTTATGAATAACCAATACCTACTACCTATACCGCATGTAATCCTGTCTCATTCTATAAATGCCGCCTGAATAAACTTGAGTGAAAACGTGTTTCCACTGTCTCAATTGCATCAAAAGCTCCAAACAAATCATTTAATTCAGTTTCCATTTTGCCGAATAGGCGTGAATGACAATATGCGTGACAGTGACAACCTGCACGCGCAGTGATCGCCATCGCGGTCGCGGCAGTGTGAAACAACTTTTGCACGCGCAGTGGTCGCCATCGCCATCGCCATCGCTGCACGCGTTGGTTTGTCCGAACCTTAAGTCGCCTCTTACGACATCCGCGGGAAGAGTAGGGGTTGGTGACAAATGTATTCTACTCTGCCGTCACCACACGGCTAAATAGTCACGCAGTTCACACTAATAAACAGATTAATAACAGAGACTAACAACAACTCTTGTATCATTCATACGGTCCCCCAACATGGCACAGTTGCATAGCCCTGAGAAGAGCTGTGATAACTCGCTGCAGCACTTATTAAAGGTATAAGGTAAAGTTAGGTTATTAGTTAGTAAAGTTAGTTAATCTTATATATATAAAAGAAAGTCGTGTTAGTTACTCCACTTATAACTCAAGAACGGCTGAACCGATTTAGCTGAAAATTGTCAGGGAGGTAGTTTAGAGCCAGGAGAAGGACATAGGATACTTTTTATCCCGTTCGAAATAAAAAAAAAGTCTGCTTATTTATTGCCATTAAGGCGGAACAAAGTTCGCCGGGTCAGCTAGTTTATTATTAAAAGACGTAATTTATTTTATTATGATTGCTAAGTACCTTAGCACTCGCCGCGCGCCTCGGCTGGTCCCTCCAAGCGCCTTCCCAGCCACTGCCAGTTGAACCCTGAAATATGCAATAAAATCCATTTCTATTTTAAAATAACATTGTGATGGATAGTGGACATATGAACTTTCGGTTAAGTTCAACGCACCTTATTTACATAGTTGCATAGATTAATAAAGTCCTAGATAGGTAGTAAGCGCAAGAAAAGTGAAGCAACTATGAAACGTCACACGTAGTAAAAAAATCGACAAACTATTGTTCCAATTATGTCTTATTAAATAAATAACAAATAATACAATTTCATAACGATAAAACTCTCTTACTTTGGAAAAAATCGCCTTTAAGATTATATTTTTTACAACGTTTTGACAGTAATAATGACATAAGATTTTTAGGGCTTTATTAATCTAAGCATAGCTGTAATAGGATCGATTGTGGTGTTTTGTTGTAGTTGGTACCTGCGCGTCGTCGGCGTGCGATTCTGCGCGCAAGTTGTCAGAAGCGGCGAGCAGCCGGAACGAAGCCGGCACCGCGCGCTCGCGCCGCGCCCGGCTGCGGCTGCTACTGGCCTGAATAAAGCATACAGTTAGTACGATTGTTCCCACGGATCTATAATATAAGGTCACCTCCAAAAGACAGACGAGATTTAATCTTAAATTAATTCGTTTTAGGGCTGATTTTTCAATCGTCAGATAACTTTTATCTGTAGAATAACCTTGTCATTTTGACATATTTCCCATATTGAAACTGTCAATGTGCCAAACTTATTCTTCAGTTAAAAGTTATCTGACGATTCAAAAATCAGCCCTTAGATCAGTGGTTCTTATCCTTTAAGTCACGAGGGACCATTTTACCAAATTTCTGTCTTGTCAGGGACCACTTTTTTTTTCAAATCCTATGATAGGGGAGGTCGATTTCTCGCCCACTGTGCGCCGTTTGCGTTGTGTTGACTCGACTCATTACGTCACGTCACTTGTTTATTACAATGTTTTCGTGGACCACTAGGAATGCCTCCAGAGACCACCAGTGGTCCGCGGACCACCGGTTAAGAACCACTGTTTTAGATAAACCATATTTTTATAATGCTAGTTTTCGAGATTTTTTGATGTTATGTCGAGTGAACCCGAAGTGCTCAGTGTGGTCCGGAGGCATGGCATCGATCGTGCCAGACAGTGCATTCGTGTACAAGGACTTCACGTCCAGCAGCTTATGTAAATAATGTTAAAATGACAGAGAGGGCCGATAAACCAAAGTACAGGATGCTCTTAAAAATATTACATTTAGTTTGTTAGGAAAAGTAAAAACAGAAACTAGCCTATTTTTTTGTTTTTAATGCTAGGGTCCAATTTTTTTAATGTAATTAGATGTCCTATTAAAATTTCGTCTGTCTTTTGGAGGTAACCTTATATACAGGCGGATGCTTTGGTCCATAAACACTTAACAATAAGAGCACTTTCACATTTCACGATTTTAGCAACGCGACGTGCGACTGACGCGCTATCGATAATTTCATACTATATGACAGCGGATGCCAGTGACGTAACTATACCATTAGGTTCTTAGGCTGGGACCGCCTCGCGTCGGTGGCCCGTGGCATTTTGCCAGTCCTGTTACCTTATACATATTTACGTCAGTCGCGGATGCCTGCCTTTACATTATAAAAACGCTGCTGTCGCGCTACTGACGTCCTAATTTGCTGTTAAACGTTGCATTTTTTTGCAAAAAGAAATGCAGTGTAGACATGTAATTGAGATCATTTACGCATCATGTGTTAAACCATGTTAAAATGTATGAACTGTATTATGTATGTGACTTTGTTGGTGTACCTTATAAATAAATAAATAAATTCGTGCCGCGCCTGGCGCTAGCATGAAGAGTACACAGTAAAGAACGTGGTCTCTCAAGATAATGAGTTTTATGGGATTCTCTCTTCCAGAAAGGCGCGATACCTACTAAAAGTTAAAACCCGACGATATCCTCCGGGACCAAGCATCTGTGTAAACAACATAAGCTTCAAAGCTGTCCCTGGTAAACCGCACCTGTTTTCCATAAAATAAATAAATAAATAAAGAAAATGCTCCTATTACCTGTCGGGCGGGTTCCTTGGCAGCGTTTCGCGCGCGCATATTGCGTTCACGGCGCGGCGGCGCGGAACTGGCTCGCTCCTCGCTACGCCTGCGGGGCGAGCTGTTGTCTTGTGTGCTTGCATACGCTACGGGAAACATGGAATCTAAATATACAGGGTGTTAGGTAAATTGATATATGTGCCGACACTAGGCATTAACATGGGCATATAAATGGTAGAGTTAAGTCAGAAATTTCGCTAGTATTTCATCATCATCATCTCAGCTATAGGACGTCCACTGCTGAACATGAACAATGCTTTCCATGTAGCCCGGTTGGTAGCGGCGGTAGTATTTAATAAACTGGTCTAACCGCCTCTGTGGTCTAGTGGTAAGACCACCTGCTTCAGACGCAGAAGTCCCGGGTTCGATTCCCAGTGGGGGCAGATTTTTCTGTTCGGTTTGATTGGTGGTAGGGCTTGTTCTAAGTCCGCCTGGCTAGCTACCACCACGGTAATGCTATCTATACAGTATTCCAACTCGGCCATATTTTTGAAATAAATGTCAACAGTCGCGCGGTACGTCACGGTATGACAACATGCGATAGGGCTGCCCACCTATAGTACCCAGTTTAATTACATCTGCCTACTTACAATTTCTATCTAGTTTTGTGATTGTACTTTTTTATTTAGTTAGACAAACAAAATACTTTGTGAATGGAATAGGTTAAAAATGTGTGTTGTTTTGTGATTAGTAGATTTAATTTATTTAAAACTACGTAAATAATTTTGAAACTTTAATAATCATAATGATCTGTTACGTTAATTTCGGGCGAGCGAAGTTGTGGGCAAAAGCTGGTTTAATACAATATAATTTTCATTTCAAATCAAACTGACTGAAAATGACAAATTGACTAGTTTTTGAACAATTTGACCGTAAATGACGGTCACTCAAATTCAATCAGTTTTGTCATTTTTAACACTTGGCCACCGACGTCCATTCGGCACATTCGCGACACCCCCGACTTTTGCATACCGAGCGCATACCGAGATTTGAATTTCGAAAGAAAGTTCTCGTTTCGTCTGTTTATATGAAGTTACAATACTGTATGATATTATTACCGTGGACTCTAAAGTAAACAAAATACAAGGGATCTCTTACCACATGTGATTATGCAAAATTATTTAGTATTTATATTTTCAATTATTTATGCAAACAATCAAGACGCCATCGCGCCATGCGCCATGTTCGAGTTAAGAAAGAGAAAGCGATCTTGTTTTGACGTTAGAGCGATAAGGATGCGTGCGCTGCGGACATAGATTAGTTAGTGCAGAATCGTTAAAACTATAGCTATCTCTTTCATTTGCGTGCTATTTCGTATCTTTTGTTTCACTTATCAGTTACATTTGTCAATGTGTGCAATTTGGAATAGCTCGGCACGGATTCAAATCGTAATTTCTATGAACGTAACATATCTATAGTTCTTTAATATCATTGGATCCAAGTATATTACAAACAATAATAATTACCAGCTTCCTCCAGGGTCCTTTCATGAGAGTGCTCCCGGAGTAATCCCGCCAGTGACGCTAGCGTAGACGAGGTCGGCTTGCCCGCGCTCGCCAGGCTGCCTCTAGTTCCCGCTGCAATAAAAACATTAAATAAGACTGGTGTTTAAGACCTTTTTGACACTTCAAGATTATCCAATAGTGATGACAACAGAGGTCGCATCGGCTCAACTCAATACAGTCTTTTAATTACAAATCTCCTGTAGGGCTCGTGTTCAATGCAAACATCAGTCACTCATTCATACTTATTCATTCGTTCCTTTTTGACATTCATTCTATTGGAGAGAATCGGACGGATTGCACGTTGGAGTCTATAACCTCCACCCCAAAATTGTTTTACAATTAATTAACGTGTGTCCAATGTGTCAATATACGCAATTTGAAATTTAACAAGTGTTTCCATGAACATTTGTTTTTGGTCCATCGAGCCTTCTACATATAACAGTGAAGAGGACAGTGATCATTTGTTTTTGGTCCATCGAGCTTTCTATAAAAGTGAAGAGGACAGTGAACATTTGTATTGGTCATCGAGCTTTCTATAAAAGTGAAATCGTGAAGTTACAAAGTTACAATATTACATGGAGTTTGGTGTGCTGCAAATTTACTCATAAAACTGAACGTTGGTGGTCATCCCACTACAACCTGAGTGCCGTCATCAATCTACCAACCGGGTGCCGATAGTCATCATATTTTATCAAAAATACTCAAAATACAAGTTCGTCGTGTGAAGAATCAAAATGGCTGAACGTATGCCGTCTCCCCGCCGAAACGCAAAACCATGAAGTTGGGCGCAGAAAGAAGCGAGCATTGAACGAGTTGAAGAACGAACAAGAAGAACGAGGTGAACATAGGCGCTACTTCCGGAAGACATCATTNTTACACCCATTTATGCTCTCTCTCTCTCTCTCTTTCTCTCTCTCTCTCTCTCTCTCTCTCTCTTTCTCTCTCTCTCTCTCACACACACACACACACACACACACAAATTCTTTCTCTTTCTCTCACACTCTAATATGTAGGTATATCGAATTTAATCGTAAAATAACAACCACCACTGTGGTCTAGTGGTAAGGCCACCTATAGAGGACAGCCAATTCCTCTGTGGATTAGGATTCCGAGTGAAGCTCGCTGATCATCCATCAGTTTTCATCAGGTCAGATGAAGGGCAAGAGATTCCTCGTAGTTGATAAAAAAATGTTCTGTTCAGTTATTGTCTTTAAATGTGTTCTACGTAACGTAAACTTAGAGAATTGCAATCATTAGTTCGTCCTAAGAAAGTCAAAAACATGTAACGGAATCTCCGACTTACCACTTTAGTGGAGCGATTACAGAAAATAATGGCCTATTAAGTACATGTTTTTTTGTGTTATTATGAAAGTTCAGAAAACTGCGCAGTTTTTAAAATTATTTTGGACCTATGGAATTTCTTTTTTTTTTTTTTAACTTTTAAGTTGAAAATTTTAGAATGTTCCGCTAATAGCATATTTTTTATGTTTCTAGCAAAAATTNTCGATGGCTCCTACGAATATGGGCGAAACTGCCGCTTACGCCTTTTTCCAATTATTTAAGCAATGATTTAATTTTGCCCTAATCTATAACTTCAGTAAAAAAAAAAAATTTTTTTTCGATTAAATACAAAATAAAATTTTAGGCAAATAGGCGTATGTGCCAAATTTCGTCACGTATAAAGCCCAATCACACGGTTCGCCCATCTACAGCGCTGAGAAGTCACGCCGGGGGCGCGGCGCGCGGGCGGAGGTGCCGCTTCGGTCGTTTTACTCAGTGTCGCGGCCACGTCCGTTACAGTTGCATTGCTCGTGCGTTGTAGCGTAATAATGTTATTAGTGTATTAGTATATCAACAAAAATGATGTCAACAAAAGGAAAGCCACTAACAAGAGCTCAAAAAATTATGAATCAAATTATTTGCCAAAGAAACGGTAGTGAATTTAACAGCGAAGACGAGAATCAAAATGAAAATAATAGAACTGAATGTCCAGGTAAGATGAGTCAATCATTTTTATATTGCTATTATATTCTAGTGAAGTAATATATTTTAAACTGTTGCAAAATGTTTTTATTTAGTCATAATTTAACGATAAACCTCGTAAAAAGGCGTAAATTCGCTTCCGCCTATTTACGTAGTTCGATTGTAAACAAATCACTTACGCCTCTAATTTTAAAATGGTATTTTTGGCGGCTATATGAACGCAAATTAGTTTTTTTAAATTTATTTGTAGCATTAATAATCACCTGACATCTAAGGTAATCAAATTATTACCTGATTATTGACAGTGATTTAAAAAACACACTGTGGCGTAAGTGTTAGTACAGGCGTGTTGTTCGTAGTTTATCTTGTATTAATTGTTTCATTATGATGATCTGTTTGATGAACATTACACCTATTGAGACGTAAGGGGAAGTGAGTTCGATGCCTAAACTAGCAGTTTTTTTAAACTAGCGAAGTATTTTTACCCGACTGCGCCAGAAGGAGGTATGTATTATGTTTTCGAGTGTATGACTATGAATGTATGGTGTATGATGTGGGTATATTATCTATAGGTATATTTCTTTGGCTTAAACGGCTTGACCAAAAGCGTGAGAGGGTTTAGTCTCAGAAATTGAATGTCCAAGTTGCAACAGGGTTCGAAAATATCCGATATTTATTATAAATATCAAAATATCGGATATTTATGATATATATCAGATATAATATATCAACTTTGATTATGAAATGTATCAATTTTGTATGAAAGCCATAATATTATTTTATTGTAATATTTATTAATACTATTGCATATTAATGTGTTACATAAACATGTTTTTAATGTTTTTAAAACTTAAAATCAGACAAATAAAGCAAAAACATAAAATCTTCTTTTAAATACGACAAATTCAACTAAAAAATAAAAATCTTATGTCAAAAAGTACAATACAGTGACAAATTTTAAAAATTTATATATATCATCAAAACCGGCTATATATATCGGATATTATCCGATAATAATATATCTTTATATTATAAATATCCCTTGATATATATCCTCGAACCCTGTTGCAAAACGTCCAAGTCGCCAATTAATGTCCAAGTCTCAAAATAAATGTCCAAGTCTCAAAAGTTTAGTTTCTTAAGAAATTATGAAATGAAATCTCTTTAATATTAGATAGAAACTTTGAACTTTTAAGACTTGGACATTAAATTTCTCAACTTTTTTGTTTTTCCAATAATATTTTTTTACTAATTTTATATTCATATGCCTGATTCAATTTCTTGACATCGGTGCAAATAAATCTTTATTGTTTATTATTAACTGATAGTTTTAAAATATATACATTTATTAATAAATTTTCTTTGGTTGCAGTATCTCCTCTACCTTCTGGTGCGGAATATGCAGTTGAAGATTTGTCTTTTGATCTTCTCACTCATCCAGATTTACAAGTAACAAGTGAAAATGATGTACAGGCATCTCATATTAATGACAGCGATGAAACAGTTATTCCTATTACACCAATGCCTTCACCAAAGATGTCATTTTCAGCTTATTCCGCAATGGAAAGTGATTATGATATATTTGCAAATTCCGATCATGTGACTTCAACACCAGAACCAAGAGAACCTTTTGATTATTTGTACGCAAATCCGAGTTCTGGTATATCAAGCGATGTTCAATCCAATCCATCAACCAGTGAACCAGCTGTATATTCGTCAAACGAAGTTTCTTCACCAACGTCATCAAGATTAAGGAGAAAGAGATTAACTAAGAGAAAGGATATCGGAAGGTTAAGACAAAGGTATCAAAAAGAATGGGTGGATATGAAACGTAAACGTTTGAAGAATTTAGGCCTACAGTACCATAGTCGGGATGGGAAATTACGTCATGAAAAGTCACTGGGCGCTTTAAAATGCTACCCAAAATGCGTGTATAAATGTTTTGAAAAGTTTACAGATTTCAATCGACAGGCAATCTTTGATAAATTTTGGAGTATTGGGAACCATTCAAGGCAGTGGGATGTTCTCGCTAAGTATGTACAAAAAATAAATAAACGTAGAACCATCACGGACGCTAATTCTCGTCGCACCTTTACTAACATTTACTACTTACCTGTGTTAGACAACGACAATACTGGATTTGGCATAGATAATGAGAAGAAACAGCGAGTTTGCAAAACAGCGTTCTTACAAACTTTTGCTGTTAGTGAAAAAGTAGTTCGGACAGCGTTAGCCAAAAAAACAAATGAGTTTACATCTACTGACCAAAGAGGTTGTCATAGCAGTCATCCGGTAGTTATAACTGATTCCATGATCGAAAGTGTGCGGGACCATGTAAAATCTTATAAGCCAGTAGAATCTCATTATTGCCGCAAAGACACGAATAAACTGTATTTAGACGGATCCCTTACGTTTAGACGCATGTATGCCATGTATAATGAATGGTTTGATCCCACAAAGTACTCGTCAAAATGTGGATCAATGCGACAATATCGCGATATTGTTAATAAGAATTTTAATCTAGGATTTCACAAACCTAAAAAAGATTTATGTGACACATGCCATGCTTTCAAAACTGCAACCGAACCAACTGATGATATGAAATTAACTTATAGCACACACCTACTTAATAAAAACTTGGCCCGTTCTTTAAAAGCAGAAGATAAAAATATTGCTGGATTAAACCCTGATAAAGTTTTTTGTGCGTGTTATGACATGCAAAAAATTTTATATTGTCCCCAAGGGGATGTGAGCTTATTTTATTACAAAATGAAGTTGAAACTGTACAATTTCACAGCTTTCGACGTGGATAAACTGCAAGGATTTTGTTACTTGTGGTCTGAGCAAGATGGTAAAAAGGGGCCAAATGAAATAGCAAGTTTTGTATTTGACCTAATTGAAAATAAATCTAGGGAGGGTTACTCTGATTTTAGATTCTGGTCTGATAACTGTTCAAGTCAAAACAGAAACCGTATTGTATTTTTCATGTACATATNTGATATTATTACCGTGCTACCACCATCTTACCTAAGTCTGTCGCCATAACAACAATGTTAACAGCATTGTTGTGTTCCGGCAGTTAGAGGTAA